TTAGTGGTGAAAGGAGTTGAAAAGTAGCAGTAGGATGTTCCATAGAGCAGAATCATCTCCGTTTTTATGCGTTTGTATAAACTTCACCGCTAAAGAACTCTAACAAGAGTTTTATAGGACAATTCTACTTTAGGACATACAATAATGTTTATTCTTAGGCTTCAAAAAGAGACAGTATTGTTTATGCATCTATGAGAAAGTGGGATATATACAAAGATAGGACAAAAGCTTTAAGAAGAGAACTATGTAATATGAAATAAGCATTTGAATGAACAAGTTTAGATTCGTGACCAGAATTTGGAGAGCCTTCAGGAATAAGGGAGACTACTGTAATAAATTAAGAAGCACATCGTGAAGATGTTCTTGAGGGTTATTTGCGAATACTGCTGCCTCACTCCTTCATTGTCTATGAACAAAGGAGGAAGATGTTTCTACGAATTTTAGATCACCCAGACCGACTACAAGTGCGAAGAAGTGAATACATAATAAAGAGCATTGCGAATAAGAATAGCTTAAAACAAATAGGATTTTTTTAAATGAAGTTTTGTTAAAGATTCATACAATGCTTTTGATCAATTTTAGTGCAATAGTTGGTTTAAGCCCTTTGATCATATTAATAAGTACATCAAGTATGTATGTACAAAGGAACGAGATTGTTATACCATAAGACCAACTGATACGTAATAAAGGCTAAAAAGCTTCATAAAGAACGGAGCTTCAATGCGATTAATTTGTCTATGCAGGGAGCATCACATTTTGATGGCGCATGATGAGGAAGAAATGTGAAAGTAAAACTGGGTGAATAATATTCTAAATTATTGGAAAAAAAGCTCTTCAAAATACAAAAATACAGAAATATGTATGCTTACGATTCAGAGCATGAACGGAAAAAAAGATGAATGTATAATGTGAAGAAATTGACAGTGTTTTACTTATGAAGTTCAAAAAAATTTTTTACTAGATGTACATGAGCCTTAAATAGAATTTTTTTTTCAAGGACGTAAGGCTTTTAACAAGATTATAATCAGCTTCAAAAACATTCTTGAATTGAAGGATGAAGAGCTCTTCCCACTCCTATTTCACTCAGATAAGAAAACGAAAGGGGTAGATGGTTTTTGGTGAAACCACATAAAGCAGCACATCTCCTTTTTGTGGATAAAGTCTTATAACATAATTGAATTAGGTTACTTCTGTATACTCATCTCAGTTTCATCCACATAGTAATCCTGTAAATGTACTTTTGGTAGCGACATTTCTTGAAGTGGCCAAATCAATTTGACGTCCTATAATGCTGTGCCTATGCATTACATTTTAGCCAATAAATCTTTGTATGAATCACTCCAAGTACCGAAAATAGAATTATGTAATATTGTGCACAGGCCAAGTTGTATTGTCAATCACTAACTCCTCTATTTTTTGATACTTTACGAGTTTTTCCCAGGAGACTTTATGTCTGACCCTTAATACTTACACTTTTTCCAAAGTACATTTTATAGTTTTTAAGGAGCTCTTAGCCTATACATGCTTTTTCAAGCATTTTGATACAAAACTTTGTGTAAATAGTCTATTGCTTAGAGAATATAGATCCATTCAACTTTGAAAGAAGCTTAAGAGCTTTGCAGATTGATGTGAGGGTTTGAAGCTCATGAATGGTGAGCACATTAGAACTATTTTATATACAGACTGATTTGAATAAAACATGATAATAGTTTAAGAGACACTTCTTGATGTAAAAATTGCCTGCAAAAGGCTAACCATTCATTTACAGAAAACAGAGTGGAATAGAATCTAAGGCAATTTGAATCAAAGAAAACTAGTACATCTGAAGTGTGCTTATGGGAAAAATAGAAATCCAAATCCAATGTGAGGTGCTATAAGACAAAAACATTAAATGAGTGTTTAAAGGCGCCCTATTGCTAGAAGGCTCCATTTTGGAGTGAGAGTTTTTTTAGGAGATGTTGATGGATTGCTGGGAAAGGCTGGGCAAAGTAGAGGCCGTCGAGTTCATCCATTGGGATTTAAAAGGGCAAAAAAATTGCAAAATTCGAGAGGT